GTTTATAACACGATCTTGTTCTCCCGTTTGGGAAGAAGGAAACTGCTGCTGAGGTGGCACTGAATACCAATTGGAAACCTGAGAGTGGGACCCGCTCGAGGACCCATAACTTTGATCGAACGAGTTGAAGCTGATCTGGGATTCTTCGTGGAGGGTGAATGGACGGTCAGGATTGAGATACGATGAGGGGTCGTAGAACCACGATGGAGCCACCGTAGAGCCATGGTGGTGGAAAGTTTGGAAAGGCTGGAGGTAATAGTTGATGCTGGCTTTTCTGGCTTGAAGCTGGAGCCTTTTTTTCTTCATTCTCTCCTTTTTGTGTGCATTTTGATGCCCACCCAGTGCTTGCGAATTTGCAAACTCCTTGAAGCAATATTGGCACTCGAATTTCTTGTCATCTGGTTCACTAGTCGAGCTTTTCTCATTCTCTCTGTATCGTTCCAATTTTATCGGATGTGAGACAGAGTTTGATGAATTTACACTTTCATCCCCACCACCTTCTGCTGCTGACCCTCCTCCTTTCATGGAGATTTCTTCATTCCTACGTGGATTCAGCTCAAATCCGAAAAGCCTGAGCTTCTTCTCGGCACAAGCTCCTACGGTATTGGTTTCCGATTGCATTTCTAATTTTGTAATGTGGGGGAGGAAAAACTATAGGAAGATATTTCGAGTGGTTGATTTGTAGGGAGTAGTTGTCTGGCTTGTGCTTCTTTTATAGTAAACTCTATGGGTTTCCAACGATTTATTGCATCTCAATTTATATTAGTTTTTTCTAATGTTCATGATGGCATTAAGAAATGTACACCAATTAAGTGCCAATAAAAAAAACGGAGAAAAGGAAAAGTCAGATCGGAGAAGCCGTCTCATGCATATATCAGTTTTTTAAACCCTTTCATATTAAGTTAGATGTAGAACAGTAGAGGTAGATACACACTTAGGAAAAGTTCCAGACAGTACGTTTTCATTGTTAAGCAAAAAAGAAGTCTATTTATTTACTTATTTGAGCGATATTTTAATTAATTTATGAACGCTTTCATTGTTAATTATGAATAATTATTTTATGTATCTATTTATACGAGCGTTATTTTAATTTAATTATTATATTATGAGGAGAGCGATTCAAGAATTTGGATGCATAAGAAGGATAAACTGTGTTAACCAAATTAATTAGGTCTAGATTTTCATTCGTCAAACTAGGAAATGTGATATAATTACACACTTTAGAATATATAAAAATACCATTATATACCACCACTTGAGGCATTTTCAAAACATTTATTCCTTGATTAAAGTTACCATGAACATAATTAACGGCATCCAATTAACAAAAGTCAAAGAAAGATGGGAATTTTCAAAAGAAACAAGGGATTAACTTTGCAACAACCAACAAAATCTTTTTCACTGTACTTAAATGAATATCTTAGATTATGTTACAACGACTCAATGAGTCATGAGTGGATTCGTGTATTGTCATCTACCCAAGAACCCTAATCATAATATATATATATATTTTTTTTAAAGCGCATTAGAATATATAGTTTATTTTACAGGTGTTGGTGCTCAGTCCCATCCACTCCAGGACACCAATTATGTAATTAGAAATTTTTTAACGAAACTTTCAAAGTGGGATGCTTTATGCATTTTTTGACATCTTATAATTTAAAGTCAATTTCTGTGTTAATATTCTAAAGTATTGGGCTAAAAATATGAGGTGATAGAAAATTCATAGAGAGTCATATTTTTTAGATAATATCCTTAGCATTTTTCATGTAATTAATATACAGTTATGAGATTTGTAGCTTTGTGATTGATCAGCACTAAATGAAACTTCTTGGTAATTAGAATGATTAATTATCCTCAACCAACAAAACACAATTAAAATATGTGTATTAATTTTGACCATGTTTCTAAAAAATACGTACTTAATAGGAACATAGCAAGGCAGATTAGTTGCTAAACAAAGGAATATTTAAGAAGTGGGCAATGAGGTCAGCATATATACTGGTTAGAGTCTTGGATGAGATCTTAGCATATCTTCTTAGGGAAGGCAAAACCCTAATTTTTTATATTATTACCCAAAAAACATATGTTTTCAGGTGAATCAAGTCATCATCTAAACATTATTTTTATGAATTAAGAGAAGCATTTGGGATGGACAGGTGTTCTGATTGGACCCCGCATTTTGTAGCTTTGGGTTACAGATTCTATAAACTTCTTAGATTGTGTTGTTATTCCGTTGTCTTTTCTTAAGATCTTGTTCATGGTGGACTTCTTCCACCAATAGAGATTTCTCTCATGCTCATCTAATTCCCACTCCTCTTTCTTTCTTCTCTCCCTCTCTCTCTCTCTCTCTCTCTCTCTCTCTCTCTCTCTAAATTTCTAATCTGCCTTTTTCCTGCTTTTGGGAGAAGAATTCCAATTCCAACAAGGCATGCTGTCATCAAGCCATTTTCAACAGCATGTGGAATAAAAATGAGGCCATTTAGAAATGGTGGGTTGGTTTTGATTGATTGATTTCATATGTTTCCTTTTGGTTTATCCATAATTGGGTTCATATTTCATAACTTGATCCCCTAAGACACCTCTCCAAAAAGAAACCTTACTTCGTTCCACTAATCTTGCTTTCCTTCCACTATCCTATCTTGCTTTGCTTCCACTTCTGGACTAATCTCCAAACTAAGATTCTCTCTTATTTTATTAATCTACAAAGAAAACCAAAATTGACTGAGGGCAAGTAGTTCATCATGAGTAATAATATATGGATTACCTGTTTAATTAAAGATCAGAACTACCAAAGTTAGATGAGAGAGTGACAGTTTTATATATGTAGTCTTTGTATATGATATCACGAAGTTATGACTTATGAAACATCTGATCAGATGCAAGCATTATACATTTGCTAGCCAGTTAATTATATGTAGCTAATCAGATCAGATGTTTACCCTTTTAGGAGAACAACTTCTATGGACTTGGGATATCATGTTGACGACAATACAATAGTCGTTCATACATTACTATATGAAAAGGAAAATAAATGGTAGTGTATAATTGGTTTATAATGCTACCAAACTGGTGTTCTGATTGCATGAAAATAAATGGTAGTGTATAATTAGTTTATAATGCTACCAAACTGGTATTCCGATTGCATGAAACTTCTTTTCATCCTCTTAACTCTTTTAATACGAGAGATTTTGCCTTGTCAACATGTGCATACATACGATGGCACACATAAATTTCTAATGTTGGCACAACTGAATTTGAATCCAAAAAACCTATATACACACGGCGACACGCAAGATTTTCTATTGTTGGTACAACTTAATTTGAATCCAAAAAGCCTCCGGAATACAAACGAAGTTGCGTGGCTACCTGCTGCTGAAACAAATTAACCAATGCATTAGAGATTTAGTGCCTTTTGGTTAGAAATTTGTCACCCATAATTTTTATAAATCATTTATTCAACTATTACTTGGACATTGTTAATGGGAAGCAACAAGGCTGAGTCCAAACTGATGCCTCCCCAGTCATTTCAAGGAAAGAGGGTGGGGGAAAACTTATCTTCATATAAGTGGAGTCACTGCACAATGCACATGCCTTTATCATTTTAAACTATTAATTTGTATTCCTAGTTAAATTTGAACTAGGGTTTGCTTGAAGAAAATCTAGTACTGAGAGTGACAGAAGAAACTTCATATATATGATTTTTTACATTCCTTTATTGAATTTGTTTTTTAAAATATGCTTTTAGAGTAATATGACGCTGACTTCTTGCCATTTTTCAGCCGCAGAGTGCAGATTATCCGAATCCAAATATTGATCTGAAATACTATGTTTAGGCACATAGCTAGCTTGGTAGAGCTGAAGTCTTACATATATATACGCAATCACTCTTTTACTATTACACGTTCAACTTCCTGGTGCTTGGTATGTATACATATGATTAGGATAGAAAACTATTTCTAACAACGTATGTTATTTAAAGTTAAAAGTGCACAGAGTCGTAGAAACGGTTTCTAGGAAGGTGATCTTAAGGGTTTTTTTTTTTTTTTTTATAAGGCACTTGAATTTAATAAAAATTTCGACGTAATTAGTATACTACTTTACAGTAAAACCAACTTATGAGCGCAAGTATTTATAATATAAGTAATCCCTTTTTTTTGGTCAGTAGAACATAAGTAGTCCCTAATAAACTCTTACAAGGCGTTTTATTATCATATGTATTATGTAACGGAGTCAAGGAAAATGTAATCCCAAAATAAAAGCAAGTCTCAAACATGCTGTTTTATCGTATCCCGCAATTTCAATTTCCGCCTGTCGAATCACAAGGTGACCCATGTATTTGGTGAAGGCAGATTCTCTACCCTTCCATTTCTCATACATTCTCATCTCCTTCTGTTTGTGCGATTACAGTTAATCTATATCAATATTTTATATTATTATTATTTTTTATCTTATTATCTTTATAAAAAAAAATTAATATAAAATATTAACGTAATTTAACTATGATCACATAAACAATGAAAGGATGTGAGTGTACGAGAAGTGGGAGCAGAGAATCTGCCTCCGTATTTGGTCCCATCCACCCACGACCGGTCCCACCCGATTCACAGCATCTCCAAAGGCCTAGGCAATGACTAGGCATTTCCATTTTGCTGCACCACGTACACAAATCTACCATACGAGGAACTAGGCAAAATAGCCTAATGGAATTTCAATTATTGCCTTGTTGAAAGGGCTTAGACAAATCGGGTCCCACCATTAATTTAATCAAAACCATATGATTCATGCTCCTTAGAATTTGAAATTGAATTATATACATTTTTTTTAAACGATAAATTTTATTAAATTAAATATTAATTAACCATCAATAGGATTCAATTTCATGTTATCATGATTAAACCCACGCTATCATGAAAAAACTCAACATTTTTTCACTATTGTGGTAAATGATCACTTGCAAATTATATAATTATTGAAATAAGCAAAATATAAACAAATACTAAAATAATTAAAAGCCTTTCTTATTTGCCTGACCATTTGGAGGGACAAGTTTTAGAACAAGCGATAAATCATTCTACATCTCAAAATTTTTCTGGTACCATCAATTACAATTACTATAAACCAACAACGATCTCTAATTTAAAAATGCGACAACTGGTTGAAGGGCAAATATGACACCCCGACTGGAGCAAGTACACGCTGATCATTTCATAAAAAAAGGGCTTTCTAACATGCGCTTTCAATCACCGAATAGTAACCGATGGCCCCAAGATATCTTGGTTTTCAATGTACATTTGTCGCTGGAGGCCGCTTGGAACGAGGCAGGAGAGCAAGAAGAAGCTTCTTCCTAGGTCCCTGCAACAAAATCAATCTTCATGAGAACCAACAATACACCGTATGTCGAGCAGGTTAACTCTGTATTCTAAAATGAGAAACTCTAATACATTCACAACCACATCCAAAGGTCACAAGGCAACACGCGCTCTGCTGACGAGGTGCCAGGTTGATCCACATAAAAGTGGGGACTTGAACAAGTACCACAAAAGACACTTCCCTAGATGGTAGAATGCATGCAACACAATGCTCTACTGTGCACACTAATAAAGTAGGGTAAAACACCTAAGTTGGACATCATTAGTAAAGCAAACTAACAAGAAAAAACAAAAGGGGGAAAGGGCAAGTACCATAGGTATTCCCAGCTCTTTGAGATCATTTTCTCCCATCTGCTTCAATGCGGTCATATCAATCTGCGTAAGATCAGATATATCAATTATAAGCTCAATCAGAGCGAAGCCGGTAACTTATTTATGGCCACGCAAGCACCAAAACTCCAAAATTTAGCTATCTGGGCGAGTCTGATAAAGGTTAAACCGCTTTCAAATATTATTTGAGAAGCACGTGCTGTTTCACTAATATGGTTTAGAAACAATGCTTATAACTCCACCACACCTCAAATGAGTGGCACTATGCATAAAAAAATGTGATGCCCAAGAAACAAAGAAAAAGATAGAAAGAATTCATCAAGGTTGTTCTGTATGCAATACAGTCTATAAACTTAGGAACCGAAAAAATGCATTAGATAAATTATAAAACTACAGGCCAAATGCTCATGAATTTCAGGTTTAATGTAGCCAAAGGAATAATTATGCACACTGACATGAAAAAAAAAACAAAGATACGAAGCAACATACTTCCTCAGCCTTAAAAATAATGGCATATTTTCCCAATCCCAGCGTATGTAGCAAGCCATCTACAGTCTGCTGTTCATCACCCTGCAAACACCAAACACACAGAGAATTTGTAAACCCATAACTGAGGTGGTTATTAATCCAAAGTTGAAACACTACGTACTTATAATTACAAAGCATAAAAACATTCAAATACAACCATAGAAAAGTACTTAATCTCCTTTTACTTCCAAGAACCAAGGCTAAACAAAAAGCTGCCACAGACACAGGTGAGGCACAAGCATGGTGAAATTTCTCACGTCCTTAAAAATTTTAACCTTACAACCACTGATGAATATTTTAGAAGTATGCCCCCAAAAACTAGCCTATCCATTTATAATTTTGGTGGTTTTGTAGAACCTACCACAAACTAGTAAAACTGGCATCTGCTACGATCTGAATGGACCTCTACATCTAAAATCACATGCAATGATTACTCATCCTCCAAATGTGGGCAACATAAGGGCAAGAACTAACAAATTCCATTTCGCCCCCTAAGTAGTTTTGTCAGCACTTCATACCGTAAACTAATAAATAACTTTTGTGTAGTGATGGACCAATTTTTAGAAAACAGCACCAACTTTTTGTAGGTTTTTGTATCCCAAACTTACCTCTCCAAAAACAATTATCTAATTTCAGCAAGAAATTGAGTTAACGGCCTCTGTTTTACCACTTAATCTATCTAATCTTGAGGAACTGCCTTTCCTAATTCCAGAACTTTGAAGGCAGCATATGGTTTTCTTTATCATGCAGACAGGGCATGTTTTTTGCATCACGAAAGATAGATATGGTTCTAATTGTGTGATGGGGGTGGGGGTGAGGGAGCAGTAGGCATGAAAATGACGGTAAGAGCAGCATTTGTGGAAACACAAACTGGACCTAAAGCATAAACAAGTTTAATGAGTTTATTATTAGACCTTCCATTCAGTTACTATTACATAGAGCTACAAATGCAAAAGCATATTTGGATATACAAGCAAAGCAGATAGCAAAAGGCAAGTAACATGTACCGCATATGAACTTTTCTGTACAATGCTGCTCAGTGGAGGAATTTGACTCAAGTGGGGTGGGGGTGGGGCCACAGGTTTCGCAGACACATGAGGCAATGGAGAACTGGACATGAAAGGAACACTACTTGCAGGCCTTGTAGAACCAGGAACATCTTTCCTCATATATGGATCCAATCTGACATCATCAAATGCCCTGCTTAGTGGCCTTCTCTCCAATTCTTTGGGATTCCTCGGAGAGGAGAGACCCCTAGAAGTGACTACAACTCTATCTGGGGATCTTCGTCTTAAATGGTCCAGAGTCCAAGGGGAATAAGAGTTTCTTAACGAGTCCACATGAGGCAAATCATCTGCCCTTGAAGAAGGAATTCGACCTATAAAGCTAGTCTCTTTTATTTCAGGAAGGTGCTGACGTGAGTCATGGACAGTGACAGGGCGCTGAACTGCCTTTGAAAGCTTCTCACGAAGGTCCCCATGCCTCTGACCGTCATCACTCTGAGCTCGTCTAAATGCATTTTTTTGCATGAGTTTAAACCGAAGATCACCTCTACCAATGTGTGCATCTTGGAGATTTAAAGGTAGAGATTAGAAAATGGAAATTAATTCAGAAATGCGGTAATGCAGCAATATTTCAATTTCTCCAGAGTAAGCTCATTACCATCGTAACCATTGAAATTCAAACTTGACCTACCATTGTCTCCTCGCTGGCTGCAAAAAGGGTAAAATAAAACAATAAATTATTTTAGACATGACTGTGACTTCTTTAAGGAATTTCTGGCACATAGGATGTAAGAACCAATTACATATCAAATCCATTTGGTTCTGTTTTTAACACTCATATACATATTTTGCAACATATCAATATCTCCATATAACTCGATAGTCAAGTTATTCGATTTCATATCAATAGTGCAATCTACTAGGAACAGAAGCACTAAGTCAGACATGACTTTATTCAGCAAAACAGCAGCTTTTCCACAGCGGATAAAATATGATTTTCGAAGTAGCGAAGGGCATACCGTTTATTGTTGTGTAAGCTTCCATGCGACAAAGAACCGTCTACATTACTTCCTAACCTATCTCTAACAGACCGCTTGGTCCCAGCCACGGGTATGGAATCAGTTAATGAAGACCCCGAAACAGACCTCTTCACTACCTGTCAAATGGTGATATAAGTCAACGAACTTTCAAGGACACCAAAACCAGGAAAAAGCAAAATCCAACATTCATAGCAGTTGTTGAATATAATCGAGTAAATACAACTAAATGCATAAAATTCAATTCCCCCACTTCAAGTTTATTTTCATTAACTAAAAAAGTATGCTTATTTAGTTCTACGGAGAACCCAAAAGAAAAAATATACATACATATATAAATATATGTATACTTCTCAAACTTGTGTAGGAGAAAATGAGAAATTGGATACCTGGCCACCGCGCCCAAGCGTGATGGTGACTCGACCCCTCGATTTCCCTGACATAGTTTCGAATCAGAAACCCTAGGAAATCAATCAGCTAATCAAGCTTTTACTGCAAGGCATCACCGCCGCAGAAACCCTAATCCGGTAGCCGATGCCAGCCAAAGAGAAGCTCGAGGAGATTGATTGATACGCGCCTGCTTGTCTGTGACTTCTGGGGAGCACTTAGGGTTAGAGAGAGAGAGAGAGAGAGAGAGAGAGAGAGAGAGAGAGAGAGAGGGAGAGAGGGAGATTGGTGATTTCGGGGTCGAAACTTCGAAACGAAGGAAAACGATGACGCAGCGTCGCGGAGGAATATCAAAAGGCCGGAGTTGCGAAGACCAGAAAGAGAGAGATTGGTGTTTTTCGATCGGCCAATACGAGCCGTCAGATTACCGGAAGCACTCAAATTCTCAAGCTTTCCTTCCGCAAATCAGAACGACCTTTTTCAGTGTTTTGACTTTTGACCCCTTTTTCAAATGAAAGGCCGAAAATTAAAAACTCAAAAAGATTATATACAAATAAGCACGAAATGTAAGGAATGGAGTCAAAGGACCATGTTTACTTTGGTAAATAATAAATAATTATCTTTCTTTTGTTAATTTTTTTTTAACAAACGATACTATTTACGTTAAGTATGTGTTAAAGATCAAGAGTCTCATCGGGCATTATGAATAAAAGGCCCATCATACACATACAGGGCCCAACTCGAAGTCAAAAGACGGCCCAATTACTAGGAGGAACTTCAATGTTGGGGTGCCCCTTGGCGTGAAGAACATTTTCCATGAAACGAGAATTTTTTGTCGTAGTACATCTGGCCGTTGAATTGCCTTCTGAAAATTTATTTTTATAGGACGCCTTTTGGCATTTTAATTGGCATTCAATGAAGTAATATTGTTCTTAACCTTATTTAAACCACTTGATTGCAAATTTACCACTGCTTAATTAATTTCTTATCGATTATGAAAAAGTGCACATCAAATGATCATTTGGTAATGTGAGAAATGCTAAGGAGATTTTTTCAAAGTAAGACTTTTATGACGAGATCAAATTCTGCACCCAAAATGGGTATGTGGCCCAAATTATTATTTGACACATATTAAGTTTATGACAATAAGTTAAGAAAAGTTAAGTTTATAAATCCATGTCTGTCACTGTTTAAGGCCACATCCATTTTGGGTGTGGAAGATTGATCTCTTTATAGACTCAATTTAACGTCAACTTTTATGCTAACATTATAAAGCATTGTGAAAAAAACATGAGGTAACAGAGAGTTCATGGAGAGTCTCATTTTTTGAGGAGTCTCCTTCGCATTTCTCTTGATAACGTTTGAAACAATACTCATTTCATTGGATTTTTTTTTTAACTATACTCATTTATTTGGTTAGTTCGAGAATAACTCACAAGATCTTAACAAGTGAGAATAAGTTCGAATCAAGAAAAGTTGAGAGTTCGATTGGTACAGTAACGAGCTCTCTCCGGTCACACATACATGTGAGAATCAAAAAGAAAGACGGAGTCGAATAAGAATTAACCTAACCTTTTTACGCCACAATATACAACACTATAAGACTCTTCAACTCGATGGATGACCGTATGTAATGAAATGATTCAAATTAACTAGCAAAACTATTTAGCTCACACTAATCTCTGACCATATCATGACGCGGTTATATGATCATAATCGGAGAGCAACAACTTGATTATTATTCTATAGGCTAATCATGACATGCATAGGGTTACATGCATGTGCATGGAGCAGCTTCATCATCATCATCATCATGCTGTACTATATAGCTAGAGAAAATGTATGCTGGAAATAGAAGGCACATAACTGTCGTCCTTCGAAAATGTAATGAACACAAGAACTATTAAGAACCCTAATTAATGATTAAGACTTCCTTAATTATGCACATATAAACTGTGCTAGGACCTGTATTGAGATTTAGAGGTTTAAAAATGTGGATATAACGTGAGTCACTTATGAAGTACTACTTCTCCTTTTCTCTATAAATAGAGATGGAAGATGAATCAAACTTTGTAAGACGAATCAAAATTTAATAAGGGGTCGACTACTTAAGATTAAGCCACTCAAATCATTCACGGTTTCGAGTCCTGGCGTTAGGCCAATTAAGCTGTGAATCTGAATTTTATCCTGATCAGAATATGTTTAACTACTAACTACATACATAGGTCAGACACAAAATTCAAATAAGATATGTTGAGGCCTCAAAATGAAGAATAATTAACAAACCCTAACGATAATTAATATATTGCAGATCTGTCTTATATGATCACTCGATGGATGTGCAGGCATACGATCGATACAGCTCTCTCGAAAATTGAATCCATTAGCATCCAATAGGTATGGAAATAAGTACGCCTGGAAAAATTAATTCAGCTACTCATTTAAGCACTCATACATGCATACGGAATTTCAGAGCTTCATCCTTTAAGTAGAAAATGCACCATTAATATAGAGTCTTGACAAATAACAACCAGAGGCTCATAGAATCACAATATTCATTTGTAGGAAGAGATCGAGAGAGAGAACGCATACAATCTTTTACAGCACAAGCACACAACACAAACACATACATGATATATTAGTTATTCAATCGACCAAACTTTTAAGCTCAAAACATATATATATATATATATTTACTAGCTATGTGTCTGACTGAAACCCTTACAAATTCAATTAAGATACCAGCAAATTAAAAGCAATTCATCGTCCGTATAGAGACGAAAGCTTTCAACCTTGCGTAGAGATTTGCTTGATCTAGCAAACAATCGGACCACAACGCTTCAATTCCCCAAGAGACCTCAAGAGAAGAAAGAAACTAACATCAAAATCTGCTGCTAGTCTATATCGATCCAAGAAGAAGATAAGGAGAGAGTACCCTAGCTAGCTAGGGTTTCTTCTTCTTGAGTGAATCCATATATCTTCTCAAGCTAGTAGTCGTCTGACCTCTCTCTGGCTTTCTTCTTTCGCTTTCTTTGAGTGGAGGTGGAGGTGGAGGGCGGTCTTGGTGGGTAGTTTGAGGAGCACTGGTGATGATGATGAGAGTGAGGAGGGGTTAATGATGAGAGGAAGAGGGGAGAAGAAGACATCATGATTATTGCTGCAGATTACTGTACGTGGTTATTGTGTTTATTTGGCGTTGAAGGGAGTGAAGAGATTTAAAGGGAGAAGATGGCTAATATTGCTTGTTCCACATGGATAGATAATTATCACAACGCTATACCACCACACTGTCTACTTTCTCTCTCCGAAACCCCAGAAAGCTTTTGACCTAATAAGCCTTTGTTGTACTTCTACCAGCTAAAAGTCTAAAAGAGAGGCGGTGTTTTTGACTGTACAGAGAGAGAGAGGGAGAGAGAGAGAGAGAGAGTAGGGCACGGAAGAAATATTTTATAGCTTGTGTTTTTACCTTTACAATCTTTTACCTCTTTTCTGTTAAAACTATTACTTTTTTAGAAAGAAACATATCTCATTTTTCTTGTTGGTAAATATTTTCCCCTTTCAAGAGTAAATAGTTGGAGACATGTACTTGTCAAGGAAAATAATTATACAATACGCCTCATCTCACAACTTGTTTAAATTTCAAAGGGTTTACAACCTTAGACATTTAAGGTTCGTTTAGTTTTAGTTTTTAATTTTGTGTTAGACGTAGAGGGTAAAACATATTAGATGTAGAAGAGTATATGATGGATGATAGGAGAGATGCAAAGCAAATGTATAAGTCGTAAAGATTGATACACAAAATAAAAACAAAAAACGATGTTAGGTTTTTTATTATCACTTTCAAGAAATTTTTTTTTTCCATTCATTCTTCTTTATTTTGCTCCTCTTGCCACCATTATCATTTCTCTCATATACTTCTTTAATATTTAAAGCAAAGCTCACAAAAATAAAAAACTGAAAAAGAAAAACGAAATGGTTTGTCAACGTGGTCTTAATTACTTAATTATATATAGCCTTTTAATTAATAGATGCCTGCTACAAATTATTGCATTCCAATGTCAATTCGATTCAGTATATCTACGTTGTATAAGTTCTGTTAGAAAACAAAGTTTCATCTGTAATGAAGTTAGAATTACAGAAATGAAAGGGACTGGTTAAAAGGCAGATAAAATGATTGAATCACTGGGTCTTATCTAATATATTAACTGTCGTCTTTGCCCCAATCATGAGATGTTGATTGCGGTGAAAGTAATTACAAAACTGCTTAATTATCCTCCTTGCAATTGCTTAATTATCTGTTTTATCCCCTATGTTCGTAACCATAATCATTCACTTTTGTAACTATTTTATTGACCAGAAAATAATAGGGAACTTTAACGAAAAACTTCTTGTACTGTTCACCTTAACGAAAAATCATATTTTTACACTAAAAAGTCAATCCTGATACTATTCACTTTACCCTTTATTTTGTCATTTTCGTTAAAACTCAAAGTTTTCAAACAATTTTCATCAGTCTTCCCTTTAATACTAATTACAAAACTGAATTATTATGGTTAGGAACATAGGAAGCTGAAGATGATTAAGAAATTGTAAGGAGGATAAAATAGATAAGATTAACAGATCAAGTTGATGAATATTTATGATTGTGATGCCTATCGAAATTGTTGTGAATGTATTAATAAATTTCACTTTTTATTTTCGAGTGAAAATGTTATTATAACGAATTAATTATGTAGAAAATGTTATTTTTACACGTAAATTATATGAATTATTAGAGGGAGTAATTTAATTAATGTTTGACCCTAAATTCACTACTTTTTAATGGACTCAACTTTTTTCCACTTTCTTTCAGCTGCCTTCCTTCAACACTTGATTGAGGCCAGTGCTTCTGTCATATCGTCGATAAAAAGCGACCAGATACTTAAGTGCTTAAGTACTTTTTCTTTCTGCTTGCTAGCCACGAACTTCTACAAAGTTGAAGGGGGAAACTTAATTAAGCAGAACATTTGGTTCAAGGGTTAATTAGCTTCTACGATGCAATTAATCACATTTGAGTAAAGTCCACAGATTTATGAACTTCCGCAAAAATGATAATAACAAGAATGTACAAGATTTTTGGCTAATCGGATTCTTCATATAGATTATAGCACATAACTTGTTGCTGAACTTAAAAATCCTTCATAGCTAGACGACGAAGGTAATCATCATGTTGGGCTCCACAACAAATTTGAATTTGTCACGGCTATGATTATGATTCCATTTCCTGGGGCAACCCAAAAAGTCACACTCTTTAGAATCAAATTTGGGGAAGCCATGGAGTGGTATACTGCATATAGACCCGGCAGCCACCATGTTGGGCTTCACAACAAATTTACCCCAACTCTATAGCTAATTCTTTCTTTATTCTCATATTCTGTCAACTTCAAAACCAATTAAAACTTGAGTATAAAGTGAGAAACACATTACTTTTACCGACTTAATTAGCTAAACCCATGTTTGCACATTGACTTCTTGATAAGAACAACTACAAGATTGAGCTCATTTTCCTGGCGAACTATAGAGATTAGACACATACAATAGTTTTCCTGGCGAACTAGAGAGCTCTACTAGTTTAACTCTTCTCACAACTATTATCTCTTTTGTAAGATCACGTCAGCGAGAAGGAATTTATCTTTCTTGTCGTTTCACTTGAGTTGAAAACCAGAGTACTACGAACAAACAAAAAATAAACTATGAACATTATTTTATTAAACAAAAACTATAAAATGATTTGTTATTCATATTAATCAGTTACATTTATAAAGAACAAAGTCTAAATACCGTAATTTGAATAGATAAGATCCAAATCCTAACTAACAAAAAACTCAAATAATTAAACAACCACAAAACACTAATATTTTCAACACTTTGTTTTGCTTCTCAGATAATTTTTCTTGGTAGATTTGGAGGTGGGGAGTAACTAATCTGATTCCTCATCTCAATTTTTAGGACAAAAGAGAGGAAGTTGCGGAGCAATGAGAATGTTGGGTTAAAGTTGGAAAATAATTGTTGTGTGGTAGAGATGATAACGTAGGAAGTGGGACTAGGAAGCAGCTAGGAACCAAAAACCACCAGGAGTAAAACGTCAAACCACTTGTTGACTTCCCACCTTACTTCTTTCTTTCTTCCTTGTCGGCTTTCTCGAAACGTCTTCTCAAACAAGGCCGAAAACGTAGCCCAAAAGTTTGGGGTCACAGGACAAGGCATGTAGCAATGAACTCGCCCAAAACACTTCCTCAAGGGAAATATTCTCACCCTCGTTTTCTCCTTCGCACTTTACCATAGATATAAAAAAGAAGTTTTAGAAAAAAAATGAGAGTGCGGAATGAATTTTCTATTTATAAACCTTAAAAAGTTAACTTGTGTGCAATGTGCATGCATTATGTGCACTCTTAGCTCATCAACCAATTATTCAGACAAAAACAAACAAAATAATTGAGCCTAGTGAACATAAACTATATGGCACCAAACTGCACTTACTTAAATTTAATATACAGAGGATTTTTTTTTTTTTTAACATCAATATTTTTACACTAAGAAGAGAAGAAGTTCGCCTAAACCACATAATTGGCAATCTAATTTGGAATGGAATTCGCTATCCACGAGATTCGAACCTAAGACCTCTCACTTCTAAGTGAAGAAGAATATCACCAGACTATAGTACTGAGTGACAATATACAGAGGATTAATCTGTAGTAAGTTAAGAATTAGGTTAATGTCAAGGTTTAGGGAACTTTGTTATGCACTACGCACATTTGACACGGACAAAGCATCACTTGTGTAATTGATATTACTTATCTTTTTTACTATTATTTTATTTTTCAATGAGTTTGATTGGGATATCATGTCAGGTCAAGTGTAGTTTCTCCATCCACTCTCAAACAATTAATCAAACATTATTTTCAAACAATTAATCAAACTGTTGACTTCTTCATTTGAAAAAGTATGGTGTTATCTCTGCATTTTTTTTAACTCCCGCATTCAATTTTCGATTGTCAGATTAAATGAAATGAAAAATATTAAATGACAAAAATTAACAAGGCATTTATATAAAAAGTAAAAATAGGTATATAAATAGCATCATTCTTACAAAATATATTTTAAATATGAGAGATCATATTCACACAGGTACTTAGCCAAGTTGAATCGAAGGTTAGGTTGAAACTTGAAAGTGGTGATTTTACTTTTATCAAATATTGAAGTATTTAAAAACTCTTAATTAGCTTTCTTCACGTAATTAAAATTTAAAAGCTTCGAATAGAAGAAATTACATATGGGCTTGGGCGCAGTAGTATGCTAGCTTTTACATGAGCATGACAACTGATGGGATGTTTCAACAAAATGAGGAAATGGGTGTTTGGCATGTTTCTTAAAGTAATGGGTAAAATAAAGAGGAATATTATCAATTGATTAAATGGGATTATCACCTTGTCTCCCAAAATTCCATCCCTAGAATCTTCACAACAAAGAAAAGGAATACTTGACAACTTATTAAAAATTAGGTTCAAAGAATTTCAACCTAATTTCAAGTACTTCACTTGTTTAGAAAAGTGATCAATAATGTGATTAGTAACTATGAGTCTACGACTGAAACAACAATATTCCGGATATGTTAATGGCACACACAAACTTTATAATACTTGTTTTATTTTTCTCATTTTGTACAGTTTTAGAAAGCTATGTACATGACATGTGTTTTCACTCGAATATGTTATGTGAAAATTCTTAAGTAATTATATAATCATCAACAATCATGTCATATAATTTATAAAATATAATTTAAATAGATTGTATTCCTAACATTACCAATATTGTATGTAAAGTCCAACCAAATTATGAAAAGGGAACCCGAATTTGCCAGACCTTAATATCACAATCCAAGCTGCCACTATAAACAAAATAAGAATCACCAGAATGATCAGAATCACTATTATCAAGAGCTGCCGTCAAACACTTCACCGGCCGCTTGTGACCTTCCAATACAGCCAGACAGCAATAACTCCTATTTAGATCACCGCCAACTGGCCCTGACGATAATCTCCTCCAAACCCTAACACTATAATCAGCAGATCCACTGCACACCAAATCCGCCGCCACCGCCAAACACAACACCGCCTTTGTGTGTCCCCTCAACGCACCCACCACCACCATGTCCCCACCGCCGCCGTCCGCACCACCATCTCTTTCCCAAACCAAAACCGACCGGTCGCAGGCGCCAGAGTACAGCACGGACCCGTCGGTGCTAAAAGCCAAGGCATTCACAGCCGACTTATGCTTCTCTAGGGTTCCAACAAGCTTTACGGATATTGACTTGTCTTTCCTCCACGTCCACACCTTTATCTTCTTATCCGCCGAGCCGGTGTACACAAAAGCTCCGTCACTTGACAAAATTACGGCGTTGATGGCGTCGTCGTGGGCGTTACTAACCGAGTCCAAGCATTTAAAGTCGGAAGTCCGCCATATTTTGAGCGCCCGGTCCCATGAAGCGGAGTAGAGAAACGACCCGTCGTTGGATATCGCTAGAGCGGAGACGGTGTCGATGTGATGCTCCCAGGTGCCGTTCTTGTGGAGCCGGATTTGCACGTAGTTCTTGGAACGTAAGAATCTTGTGACACGGTCTTTTAGAGTTGGGAGTGTGGCTATACATTTTAGCTTTTCATACGTGTCGGTCGTGTTGGTTTTCCAGACTCGGATTTTATGGTCTTGGTGAGCGCTGAATAAGAGCTTGTTGCGGTCGTCCCCACTTCCAACAACCACCAGAAACTTGACGGTGCTGGGAGTGGCGACGGTGGCTACCACCTTGTTGTATTGTGGATTTGAAGGGCGTGATAGGGTACTACTCCATGCTGAAATCTGACCGTCGGATGAGCCACTGTATAGGAAGTTTCCAGATAGGGCTAGAGTACAGATGTAGGACTGGGATTGGAGGGTGGCCATGCAGCAGTGATGAACACTTGGGGATCGTAGTACTACTAATTGGTTGGATTTTGATGGGGTGAGAGAAGGAACAGAAGGGAGACTTGGCTGGGAGGACAGAGAGGAGAAGGTTGAAGACTCAGAGAGAAGACTGGAGGTGGAGTTGGAGGCTGAAGATTCTTCATTACTTTCTGTGCTTGTGTGACAGGGCAAGGGACATGGAACAAGTCCCATATTATTTAAAAGGAATAGCAAGAATGCAGCTAGAAGCCTAGAACTAAATGAGTTGTTGGAATTTTATGGAGTTTACTTTTTATAGAGGGGAAGACTACAAAAGAAGACAAGCTTATAACAAGTGGCCTCGATCGGCCCTTTTTACGGAGGAAATTTTTCAATGTGATCGGTATACGGATGATACATTACGTGTTATTATATAAATGATGAAATATGTGTGCTAAAAAATTAATAACTTAAAAAATAAAATTTTGACCAATTCTATTAAACACGTGGTATACTATTTATGTTCCCTTTACAATTAAAAATTTCTCAGGACGTAGAAAAGAAGACAAGCTAATAACAAGTGGCCTCGATCGGCCCTTTTTTACAGGCCTATTGCAGCAATTTTACTATATTCTCAGTATGCTTATTTGACGATCGAGGATGTGCAAGTACCTTCTTTTGTGACACTAGGCTTCCCATATATGTACACATATATTTTTAAGAGAAAGCCAGACTCTTCCCCCTTCTTTTGTGTAGAATGCAAGTTGAATATTTGGACTTAAATCATTCGTTCCCTCGACCTTTTTTACCCCAATGGATTGCAAGCTTTTAGGTGGCAAAGAGCTGTCCGATCATGTCAATTGGCTGGGCCTAATAATTAGTTAAGATTTTTTAGCTGATCCTTACGATCCTCTCAAATTCTGTTTTACCAAATAAACAAGAAAAGATGACTAGAAAAGTTCACACGCTTTCACATGCACGATTGATCTATGCACTCATATAGCTCGTTGTTTACTCATCTAAAACTAAAAAGGTTGAATAATCTGAGTTCAGATATGCGGTAGCAAACATGCCTCTGCCCAACCTCTACTTACATTCTCCTTGTGAAATGCTTCTTCTGAGTTACCATGAGTTTAACTTTGTCAAGTCTTTTATTTTTGTAAAAGAGTAATACTACACTTATAACATTTTTAATAACACATTTGTTCTACTCTTTAGTAGAGATATAGTCCACCAACGCATGTAAATTTCGTTTCTATTAGAGATGTGGTACATATATAAAAATTTGATAATAAGATAAGCCCTAATTCCTCATGATCTCCCTTTCCTTCACAAGATATTGTGAAGAAACCCAACTTGTCTTTTCGATCAAGTTCAAGCATTCCTTTAGGTTTTAGTTTTGATCTTCGTCTAATCACAAGGCAATGGAACAATTCAGACACCCTTTTAGCTTTAACCCCAGATAGCAGCAAAGATAAAGGCCCAGTGTTGTCCAGGCCCAAAACAGAATCATTATCATTTCAGTGTTTTTTGTACGGATTCCACTGGTCTCTTCTTCCCTTGCCAAAATTGGAGTATGATTCTCTCTTATTTCATATTCTCATATTTGAATAGTTAAAATTAAGTCATGTCAGTATTTTATATTAAATTTTTTGAAAAGAGGAAGACAAAATGGTAAGCGTGAGAGAAGAAAAGGAGAATAAGAGAGAGAAGAATCATACTTCGCCAAAGTCCGGCCAAACCTAAATACAAAAGAAATCCACAAGGCAAAATAATAGAGACAAAGAAATCAAAGCTTATGGTCGCATCTCATACGTAAGATTCTTATAATCGATTTATTTTAATTCATTTGAATACCTAAATACATCTCGTACAAAAAGATAGAAATGATTTCAGTTCTGAAATTTATATGGCAAAATCATGTAATATTATTAAAAAAAACATAATAACTTTCCTCCTTACTGAAAATAAGAGAAGTATTACCCAATCAACGAGGCAAAATATAATCAACAAAATTATTGATAAAGATTTTATCAATAAAAGTCAGACAATAAATTAAAAAGGTATGTATATATTCAATTGTAAATATATACTGCTGAAAATATCTGTTCGTCCTAACTGTATCTGAGTACAGTGCCAAATCCACAATAATAAACCAAAAAATGTAATAAAATAATGGGTAGATCGAATCCTAGTCAATAAACCAGAATTAAATTATAAAAAATTAAATAAACTAAAACAATAGTAACAGAAATCCTACTGCTAACACGACACGGAGGGCCCACAACCGCGGAGTAGAACCGAGGTGGTCCCCAGCAGCAGACGTGTCCCTCGCCTGAGTGGACGGCGCGGATGTAGTCGTACCGTCGTAATTGGGATTGGCGCCGTATAGCGTCTGGATCCCCAAAACGTCGTCACTGGCAAGCTCCACCTTCTTCGTACGCGACGAGATCGTCGGGTACATAATCGCATCCTCCACCGACGAGTGCCCCAACCCCAGCAGATGCCCTATCTCGTGCACCGCCACGGACTCAAGGTCCACGGCTGACTTCACGGAGGACTTGCTGATGTCACCGGTGATCACCCAGTTCTCGTCGCCGTCCAGGTGGAGCCTACCGCTCGGCGGGGAGAACGCGTGTGCAAGAGTCCCCAAAACCCCGTCGAATGGCTCGCTGTCGCCGTGGTCTCCGACGAAGAATCCGATCTTGATGTCCGCCGAGTAGAAGGAGGTAGCTTCTTTGAAAGTTAACGGTGTCGCCGCCGACCACCGCTGGAAGGCGCCGATGAACACGATTTTTACCGCGTCGGAGAGCTCGTTCTCTGGCAAGAAAGCATAGGTCAGGTCGCGGCGGTTCTGCGGCCAGACGGGGGTGCTGGGGAAGAAGGAGTAGTGTGAGACGCTGTGGAACTTGGTGGAGTTATACGACGCCGGTTTTCCGGAGTTCATGGTGGTGGTGCCGTTGACTACGTCAGGGTTGCCGCATCGGGGTTTGACGAGGTGTTCGAGGGTGGGCCCATCGAGCTCGCCGGTGACATTGAGGTTGAAGTTCTTTTGGTAGGTTTTGAGGGCGGCTTCAAGGTCTTCGTCGAAGTCGTCGGTGAGGTTGGTTGTAGGTAAATTTGGAATGTAACCGAAACGGTTGAAGTATTTTTTAAGCTTGCCGAGGCCGTCGACTTTTTCGCCGGCGTGGCAGTTGCCGAAGTGTTTGAAGGCGTCCCAAGCGGCAGGAATGGTGGCGTTTGGGACGAGGTAGGACGGTATGGAGGAGATGTTGGGGAACAAGCGAGCTGAGGTCTGTGAAAGTGATGAGAGGCAGAGAGCAATGGCAAAAAGGTGGAGTGGAAACTGAAACCTCTTCATGATTACCTTTAGGGTTTTGTTTTTGTTATAGCTTTTTTTGGTGGTTGTGGGGTTTTTGGAGAAAGAGTTTTAAGAGTGAAGTTTGGAGTCTGAGAATGTAAGAGTAGAGATGGAGATATGAACAAGAAACGTTGAAGCCGGCGAAGACTTGGTGTAGGCCGCGGATTGAATGTTTGTCCAGCTTGGTGGATATGCATTTGGAAGTCTTTGTCAACAAAATTATTGAATTGCATTTGCCTGTTGAATTCCTTTTATAATTATTTTTTTTTTTTTTCTAGGTGTGGGTTTGAAATGGAACTTGGAATACTTGTGTGATAGAAGCTTCTTTCTAGTTTCTTCCAGTTTTACTAGAGATACTTGTGTTGAATCACTCGGGCTACGTTATTTATGGGGATTTTTGGCATGCTATGGTGTGTTTTACATTTGAATGTTCAGCAGTTATATCATTTATTAGGAACGCAATGAATAAGATTTAACGATAAAAAAACTTACATCGGAACTTGATAGAATATACCTTTTTTTTGGTGGGAAAGCTATAACAAGTACACGCAACTTTCAATATTTTAGTCTTATATAATCCTACACTGATTTTAACTAATATGAGCGCGGACTTGCATAAATTAATTTTTATCTGTTTCTACTTATTTGTAACTAATATGACATGCGACGTGAAAATAAGGGATGAGGAATGGTCAAAGTTGGGGGTTGAACTGCTTTGCCTTGCTTTTGCACTATGGAGTCTCGATCACGTATCAATCGATCAACCGAGGAGCTGGTAAAATGTTATTGAGCTCATAGACGTCGACGTGGAACAAAATAACTGGTGAAGAAATGTATATCTGGTTGGCCCCATCCCCAAAAGATTCATCTTTCTAAACCAATCATGTTCTCTTTTGGTTGCATAGAGAAATTTTTCAGTATAATCAGAACATAGAGCGGTATACTATACACATTATATAATAGCATGTAGCATACCATCTCGTGTTCCGAATAATTGATAAATCTCTCGACACGAAGCCAATCATGTTATGAGGTTTTTAGAGCAACTCCACCCCTAAAAATGAGTTGGTCCAAAACCATTTAATCCACCCAAATGAATAGTAATTGATCAAGTGCATCTCCACTCCACAAACTAAATAGCCTAGTTCATTTTATTAGAATAATATTAATTGTTATTATAAAATAACAAAAAAAATATTTTATTTTTAATTTCTGACATTTTATTTATTTTAAAGTTTTTTGCCCAAAAAATTTGGACCGTTGATCTAAAAATCGAACGGTCCAGATTCTCCCATGTCACTAACCGTTGGGTTTGAATTTCAAATTTTTTTTACCGTTGGAAATCCAATGACCCAGAAAACTAGCCGTTGGAAATCCAATGGCCGAGGATTAGCCACGTGGCCCATGTCATGCGCCCTTTTTGTGTGCCTGCAACGCGGGCCTAGCTTTTCGGGAACGTGGACCCCGTGTGTCGGGGACACATGCCCATGCCCGCATGTTTCCCACATGCCTGACGCAAAAAAATTTGTGTTGTCTGTTGATGTCATGTTGGCGTCAACATGACGCCAGATAGGCCGATTCCTATCTCAGCCCATTTTGGGCCGACCTACAAACTGGCTTGGACTTTAGGCTGGCCTATTTTTAGGGATGGAGGGGTTGTTTTGGGTGCCAACCTATTTTTTTAGGCTTTGGGCCAGCCTAAAGTAATGCTAGGATGACTACAAATTTGTACCATACTACATGATGTAGCAAGTGATTCATATACAACTGCTATTCACTTATATAAACTCATAAATTGATGTGACATGTACACATCATTTGTCACATCAGATAGTATACCAATATGATGTAAAAATAGAGTATTCCTAGCATTTTTCATTTGTTTTTATACAGGCATTTGTATATGCTTGGCTGTGTAAATTGATTGTTCATACAAATCAATTGGGTCGGAGTCAATCCACGAGCGGCGTTGGATGTAATCATGTTCTTTTCATAAATT